CATTCAGCATCACATACTATTCATATTGCAAGACACTGCTAGCTTATCAAGTTTAAAATTATTAGAAATGTTTTTCTGTCTTGTAGAACATAGGTAGAAAAAGTTATTTGCAATCCAAGGTTCGAGTATACTTTGATATTTTTCAGACTATTTCCAGGGTCTCCACTTTCCACTATCTCGGTGCTTGTCTTCTAGAACATACATTGATATACTAACGCATCCTCGATGCCTGAGAACATCCATTTATCTTCAAATCATAAAGCAGTAGCTTTAAAAGTAGGAGGCTGGGTGAATTATTTAGACTGCACTCAGGTATGTTGGCATACTCCTCTTCTATCATGAGTCTTAGAAGTATTTCATTTTCATTGAACAGAAACAGAAATTTCCTCACAATGAAGCAGTAATTAGTAGAAAAACTTAGTAAAAAGCAAGTTGCCAACTATGAATTCTTTGGTTTTAGAAGAATGTCTTGAACAAAATCCAAGTCGTATGTCAGATATAGACTGGTGAGCAATAGAGGGCAGATAGAAAACTGACAGTGTCACAAAGTGATCACAAAGCTGTATTTCATCTAGAATTTTCCTTTTTCAAATGTATTCCTTTTATTATTCCATATTAATCGCACAGAGTAATGGGTTTCATTGTGCCATAATTTTCTTTCTTTTACAATTTGAGCGCTCTCAGCATCTTTGTCTCCTGAGATGAAAGATTAGGAATCTGTTATCTGTCAGCCCATTGATCATATCTCCCATCAGGCTTCAAGGGCTGTTAAATTTTTCAACTGTTAGTCTTCAAGCAAGAGCAGAAGGAAAAGGCACCCACGAAGGAGGAAGGAAATAGGAAAGACTGATGGGCAAAAGTGGATAAATGAACGTCTGGCCTCAGGCCCCTTCTCCACAGTGCTGGTGAGGAAAGGTGGCACCTTCTTCTGCATCCTTCCTCCTTATGTACGTAGACCGAAGTCTTTGGTGACTTACGGTGGCTTCCAGTGTGGAAAGACTAAGACACTAGAGGAGGATTACACCGAGAAAAGCAGAGTGTTTTCATAAAACCTGTAAGGAATTTTCTGAAAACAAGAAATGATCAAAATGGCAACACTGATATTCCCCCTGACAATATAAACAAGAGTTGGGGAAAGAAACAATTAAAAGGTGTTATAACACACTCACCTTCTTATCCCCGCAGTGTTATTACTGCTGTATCTGGGGCTGATGCATCCCATAGTAATGCCATGACTCATCATTATCCTGTCCCACCTTACCACCGTCCTCCATTCAAGCTTTTGCATTTGGATTATTTGATGTTACTCCCCTCCCTCTGCCACCCCCAGAACCCCAAATGTCATTCAATGTACAACTGACCATTCATGGACACTTGTTAATGCCCAGATTTGACTTGGCACAGCAGAAGGTTGGGAAATGATGGTCAAATTCCATAATAAAACTTCAGCAGTTTGCCTGAGCCTTACCTAAGAAGATAAGATTATTTCCAAAACCATTCAGCAACCCAGAAAGCCATCCATTAAATATTTTATGGACTAAAAATAACCAATTTTCTTCGAGGGTTTTATTATTTCAGGGAAAATGCAGACAGTGGGTGGTGTCCGCTGCAGGTGTTAACGTTGACTATGCCTGTATTTCCCTCTCTCTAGTAGTTCCAAAGATGAAGAATCCACAGAGGAAAACACCTGGCCAAGAAAATACTCACTGTCAGCTGAGCATCTCCAGTGTGATGTGGGGAGACACAGGAGGAGAAAAGAAAGAAAACATAATGAGATAGTTCATTTTGTCACTAAGAGTTCTTTGAAGTTGCTCATTAATCTTCTGGGCCATTTTGGCATGTTAATGTCCTACTCTAGAATACTAAGATCACTAAGTTAAGAAAAAATGGAACTGTCGGCTTTAAATTTCTCTGCAATCTAGCTTTGTGAAAACTTGTCTTATTTCAGGCTTATTTTAATTGCCTGTGGCTTCAGTTGGCCTCTTCTGAAATTTTGAAGCTATGTTATTTTAAACTGCCTGCATTTTTCAAGGGAAAGGAGGGGGAGAGTTGGAAGATTAAACAGTGTTTCGGTCCTACGCTAATAGGACAGATTTTCACAAAGAATATCAGCGAGGTGTGGATGAATGAAAACCTTTCCATGAACCAGACCCCATTCGTCAATATTCATGGGAAGAATGTGTGAAATAATAATTTCATGTCCAAGGGAAACTTGTGCAGATGTCTATTTATTTTAAATCATTGAATTGCCTTTAGTGGATAATTTTGTGACAAGGAGTTTGGACGAAAGCTATAGACATTTTTTATAAAAGAAAGTGTCTGTCATATGAGATGAATTTCTACGAATAGAATCAAAGAAGCTGTAACTTGAATATTCTTTATTTCTTTTGCATACTATCTTAGTTTCTTGTCAGTGCTGTTACAAATTGCCCTAAACATGATGGCCAAACAGATTAAATGCTCTTTTATACTTCTAGAGGGGTCAAAGTGTTGGGTTGACTGAGCTACACTCCCGGGAGCTTTGAAAGTGTACACTTCCCGGTCTATCCAGCAGCTACACACTAGCATTGTTTTAACTTCTCTCCCTTTTTACTCATCATATCTCTTTTTTGACTCTTCTAACTCCCTCTTATGAGGGCCACTGTGACTACTACATTGGGGTCACCCACATAATTCAGCATAATCTCCCCATTTTCAGACCCATAATGTATCCTCTTCAACCAGTTCTGGAAAGAATGGAAACATTATGTCCGCACATTTGAGTCATGCAAACATCACCCTTCAATTCACCTTTGTCCTCTCTTCTCAAATATCTCAAACAAAATCAAGCTACCAAGAAGTATATAAGTCTCTGCTTCTACAAAACAGGAATTAAGCTTAGGGTAGTAGAAAGAGACAAAAGGATGAATTCCAAAAGAACTTTTCTTATTCCTCTGGGTGCAAGGACTTTCCTTTCATTGACTTAATGAGTAAGTCAAGGCTAAGAAATATTCACAAATCTACAAGATTCCAGATCAACAAAAAAAAACCTAATTCCTTCCATCATCACTACAGCAGCACAGAAAAGGATGGTCAATTGATGTGGACCAGAAAGGAAAAATATCCTTCTCAAAAGGTAAATCGAAAAGTGCTGTTCTCTCAAAAGCTGTCTTAATATTATTTAAACTTTCTGTGTTCTGTGTGGTCCCCCGCTTCCTGAGGTATGAAGGAGCCAGAGAAAATAATTTGGAAAGGAAAAAATTATTTATTAAAGCACAGGCCTGGCGACGCAGCCTCCAGTATGGAAGACTGCGCGCCTTATAGCTAAAGGGCAGGGTTTTTATCCTGTAAAACCGCAAACAGCTGCTGGTCTCACAATGCAGGGGGGTGGAGTTTGCGGCACACTATAGAACAGAAACAGAGTGATTACTTTTCTTGGGAAGAACAAGGTTCAGGTGGGCTAACAAGCAAGTTTAGATTAGGCAAACATCCTGTTCTGCTCTTAGAGTTACCTTTGATCTTTCTCTTGCCTCCGGGGAACTATGAGGGATATATATATATATATATATAATATATATACATATATTATATATATATATATATATATATATATATTATATATATATATATGTTACAACATGTTCCAATCAAAATGCAGGACCAGCCTAACTAAGTGAATTTCTCATAAACCCTTCCTTGATTAGCTGAATGGATTCTATACATGGCTGCTATCAAATACCATACAGTTCGGAGTGGGTAAACCAAGTCAGGAGTAGCACTTATGCCACATGATCTTGGTAAGATGTACTCTTGTTTAATGTTTTTGGATAAATTTATGTCTAGTGATTATGTATGTTTTCCTCTTTGGGAAGAGTCAAGCTGAATGTCAGCAATAATCTTTTTACCTTAGAATTACAATAATCATTTTCAAATTTCCTCTCAAACTGTGCTTATGTTTTTCTATAGTAGTACTGCATTTATTAGGAGACTATACTAGGCCACTACATGTGTTTATACTTATCTTTAAAAAATCTTCTCAGTTGAGGGAGGTGTAGCTCAGTGATAGAGCACCTGCCTGGCATGTGGAAAAACCAGGGTTCGTTTCCAGCACTGTTAAAAAAACTGCCCAATACTTTATAAGTCAAAAATCCACACTGCAATTATATTGCAACTGTTAGTTCTTAACAGCAATGTTAACTTACTTTTCTAAAAACATTCATGCAAACATTTTATAATTGAATCAGCCTGTTTTAATAGTTTTCTAAAATCATTCTAAATATTCCCCTGGGAAATCCAAAACTTGCAAACTTCCTAGAAGTGTAGGAATGAAATGAATTCCTAAATCCAGAATCCATGCCCTCTTCATGATGACATCCTCAGCATCCCCATCCTGTCACATTGCAAATGCCCACGGCTCTCTGCTGTGGTGGTCTTTATAAGAAACACAGATACACACCTTAGGAGCCCATTAACCAGCAGAGATTTTTTGAATGGTTGAAAACTAAAGCAAGAGACCTTTAAATTTAACCCTATTCCTCAATGTTGTTGTGGTGCAGGGAAATAGAATTTTTATGATTTACTGATATCATATAACCCCAGAAACAAGCACTGTGCTTCCCATAACAGGCACCTTGTAAACTGGTTGTCAGAGAATTTTCAAAGTGCTCTGAGACAGATGCTTGCTTTGCAGGGTGATCTCCAAACACAGCGTTTGCCCAATAAGATCCAGAGGTCGTTATTGACCCACTGCTTAGTGAAAGCAATCAGGTGCCAAGCAGGGAACATCAGGCTGTTCAGGGTACAATGTAAGCTGTCACTCCCCAGCCCCAGTCCCCAAGAGAGGTCACACAGAGAAGGACTTTGTCTGCACAACAGTGCTGGTTGCATCCCCAGTGTCGTCAGTGACAATGCCTGCTCCTAATGCAAACTGCGTGGCTTTCTGAGGTGTTTAGAGGTGGCTCCCTCGCCTTGCAGAAGGCTGGTTGTAAATCTCTGCCTTGCACCACTGTGCTTTCGCATAGGATGCTTCTGCTTACCTCCTGCTGGACACAGACTCAGAACCTAAAAACATCGAGAGACTGTGTGAGTACATTACATTCTCAAAGCCAGCTAAGAAAACATGCAGCCCTGGACTGTACACGGAGGCGTCCAATTTGATAACTCCCTTGAGAGACGAGAACATAGCATACTGTTCATTAAAAGAGTGCAGAAAAATGAGGAAAGCTTGGGTTTACTGATGTTGCCCTTTTAGAGGTGCTATTATGAACGCTAAAGCTTTATTATGTGAAAAAGAGGCAGTGCACCGAGAAAAATGTCAGTTATAAATAACGTTTACAGTTTAGTTTCACATTTCAGAATATACATTTTAAAAATAATTGCTATTTAAAGATTGGTTCTCTTGGATGATTTTATCTCCTTTTATATTAATAAGTATATTCTTTTGAAGTTCATGGTCTCCATTGTCTGTAGAAATATCAATAAGCTATAGTGATTGCAAACAACTGATTTTATCATTATGAAGCTGCCAAGACAGTTCCTTACAAGGCCCTCCCATGTGTCCAGCCCCTATGCTGAGAGGATGACTCGGGCTGGTCTAGACGGTCTTCTCCAAGATTTCTATAAAGCACACCCCTTGCAGGCAGAGGTAAGCCAGGCATGTGTCCTGCACATTAGGGCAGAGTCAGGTTCCCTGGCATACTGGGGAACCCCTTCTACGGTGCATGCAGCTGCCGTCTGACCCTCTCGGCGCTTTGCTGGGAGAATCAGGGCTCAAAGAACAGACCCCAAAGTGCAAATACGACGGCCACTGCTCTACTTGTGAATCATACCGTGTGCCTCGTGCTGCTCCCCGGCATCCATGAAACAGTGACAAGTTAAGGTGAGCAGAGGGGGAGATCTGAGCCCCACCAGGTATTGTGTTCCAGATAGTTCATCCCAAATGGTGCCAGAGACAGTAGCTGGTTGGGTAATCGTCTCTCTGCCTGATTTTCCAGGGTATTTTTTGATTTCTCAGAAGTCTGAAGTGCAGGTTCTCTGTGTCAAATGCTTCCTCAGTGTGACACTTTTGAGGGGGAGAGACAGGAAGTAAAAAAAATGAAATGAAGATGTGTTCTGTGCCTATACCAACTCCCCATGATGAATGCGATTGATACATATGGCAAACATGTAGTAGTAAAAATATAAATTTTAACAAAAAGAAAAAATGTTAGTACTTTTTAAGTTGCGCTCAACTTTTAACCATCTGCAAGGAGTTCCTTCAACAGACTGAAGACTCAGTTGCCTGAATCCTTTCCCTGCCTGGGTCTCCCTCTTTTCTTCACTCTTCCATTGGACCCCAAGGCTGCTCCTAGCAAGGACTGCAATGCTTTCATTTGTGTGGTTCCTCGAGGTTTGTTTTGGACCGAGAGTCCAAAGGACCCATCCATCCATCTGTCCAGTGTGGCACTCTTTGTATATTGGCTTAAGAGAAGACTGTCAGCAGAGCAAAGAAGGCAGATAGATAACAGCTGGCTACAGAGGCTCCCTGAGATAGTCAACTTAGAATTCAACATAATACAACTTGGGGAGTCCCAAACAGAGGGAGATGAATTCTCTCATCCCCCCAAAACAAAACTAAGGTGAGAAGAATCAATCATACAGTCCTCGTGCTACTATTGGAATAGCTAAGGTTCAGTGCTCCTGCTGCAGCAGGCAACTTGCAAAGCAGTAGGACATTCAAGGTCCTGCCACTTTGACTCACTGGAGGCACAGTCACACTGAGGTCGGGGGTCAGCCAGCCGAACAGAGAGCTGAGCTGGTGGGGAGCCTGCATCGACCTGTGGTGAGTGACAGGAGTGGAGCCATTCTATAGAAAGGAGGGCTCCAGCGGATGACATTCTGGGACAGGGCAGGACTGGCAAGTACAAGGGGCAGCAGTGACTTGTTCCCTTCACGAATGACATTGGTGGAGTGAGCTAGGCCTGGGTCATGCAACTTGGCTGAGACTCAATAGGTTATCTGAAATCAATTCCCTACGGTGGTGGTGCATACTAACACAGTGAAGCCTCAGAAGTTTGACTGACCCGGAAGGGAAGCAGCATACACTGATACAGTGCAGGCCATAGCAGCTTGACTGATCCAGAGGAGAGGGGCCAGCATACACTGCCCCTGTTGACAACTCACTAACACACTGTAGTGGGAAGGGTCACCTAGCTAGTATGCTTCAGAAGAATTGTAACCAACAAAGAAATAAACTGGGGCCTCCTGGAAGAAACCAAAAAGATGGGAAGAGGAAGCAACAAGAAAAAATCCCCATTCCTCAACCCTGAGAACACTGACCCAGGACAGATAAATACAAAGGAGAATGAGAACAACAAATATGCAATATCAGACATGGCACCAGTGGACATAAAGAGATATCTTCAGGACCTCATAGACGAGTTCAAAAGGGAAACATTTAACCAAGTAAAGCAAGATATAACAAGATTAATAAAAGAGATTCTAAGCACCCCTCAAGAAGACACAGACAGAAGGGAGGAACTCAAACAAAGGAGAGAACCATTTGATAAAGAATATAAAAAAATATAGAATACATGAAGCAGATTCAAAGAAATTACCAGGAAATTAAAAACTCTATGGAAAGATGGCAAATCAGCTTGAAAGAGACTATGGATAGATTATCCAAACTGGAGGACAGTTTTGCAATGTGGGATTATGAAAGGAAAAACTTTTTAAAAATAAACAAGGAAACAAGCAGTAATAATACAAAGGCTAGAAGATGACAAGAGGATCTATAACTTGAGAACAAAGAATGTAACTGAAGAATCAGGGGTACAAACAAAGGAACTACAAAGACTATTCACAGAAATAATTAAGGAAAACTTCCCAAACATAGGAAAAGGAAATGACATGCAGATGTATGAGGCATACAGAACTCCAGCCACCTACAACCAAAACAGATCTACACCCAGGCATATAATAATCAAGATCCCAGAAATTCAATATAAGAACAGAATATTAAAAGCTATTAGAGACAAGAAACAGATAACCTATAAAGGAAGGCCCATCAGAATAATGGCAGACTTCTAGACATAAACCATCAAGTCAAGAGGAGCCTGGAGCAAAATATTCCAAGCCCTGAAAGAAAATAACCTTCAGCCCAGATTGATATACCCTGCTAAACTATCTCTAGAAGTTAATGGAGAAACAAGATGCTTCCAAGACAAAGAGGAAAACTTGGAAAATTTGCAACCACCAATCCAACTCTGCAGAGAATATTATAGGGCATTCTAGAGAGAAAAAAACTACTAGGATTCCAGGAACAGTGGCAGAGAGGCCTCAATAAATGGAGCAGGAAACAGAATGAAGAAGATAAGCAGACAACTGATGGCAAAAAAAAGAGCATAACAGAAATGAGGCAGAGAAAGTTGGTTATAATCTTTAATATAGATGGCCTTGATACACTAAATTAAAAAAAAAAAAAGAACCACACGTGGAATAGATCAGGAAGCAGGGTCCACTTATAGGAAATATAACTAACATGAAAAAGAATACATGGACTGAAAATCCAATATGAGAAAACAATGCTCTATGTGACAGAGAACCAGAGAATAGGGGTAACTAGACCAGTATTTTGAATAGGTTGGAAAGACAGGAATATAATTAGAGATCAAGTCTAGGAGAGAGAAAGTTCAGAAACACTTAGGTAAATAGCAGGTTCCCCCCTTCCCCAATTTAAAACCAAGGGTCTTGGTGAGACTCAAAAATGCACAGTGTACCCTGGGGAAGTGAAAGGGGAGGGAGAGTCTTCAAAAAGACGGCAAAAGAGATTGTTAATAGTGTATCAGGATTTAAAACCCACTTTACTCACACCAGTCTGCTTAGATAGATTTTATTCTGTCCCAGTTTGTCTACTTGCATTTAGATTTGAGGGCACAGACAGCTATCCCATAAACATCAGAACATAGCACAGTAATCATCTTTAATTTCCTACTATCTTAATCTGGAGCCCTGTATGACTTATACTGTTTTATCATGACTGATCTTAGTTAAATCTGGTTTGTTTGGTTGCAGTTTGGTATCGACATATTTTATTCAAAACTGATATGATTGATAGTATCAAGACTACACTGAAGATGACAAGACTCTACGATACACATTCTGGTTTGATAACTGCCTGTTTTTGAAGTTTTATACTATATACAAAGTTGTGTTTTTATTAATACTGTTATGTACTGATATATTTAATTATACTATGTCTGATGATATAGCCAATTCTATTGACGATAACAAGAGACAACACAGGAACTATAGTAGAACTCCTTGTACAACGGTCTTATATGTCTTTTCCATTTCATGTGTTTATAGGAATATGTTTTGTTTTGTCTTGCTTTGTTTTGTTTCTCACCCTGATATAGAAAGGATAGAAATACATGTTAAGACTCATTAATGTGTAGAAACTATAAACATTTTATGAGAACTGATCTTATGACACATGATGAAATGAACAGGTACTTTGAAGAAAAAGAGACACTAAAGTACCTAGTGCTGATCCTGGAGTGTCATAATGTGAAACCCAGCAATAGTATTATTCTTTGTTCAGAGTGATATTAACCTGCTTGGGTTTGTTCAGTCTCAGCATAATTGAAGAGATGGATAACTGCATATATGTTTAAGTGTGTGGGATTGACAACCATATTTCTAAGTTTTTGTAGATAGTTGAATGGAACTGGTTGCAATCTCACTGTTTGAATCCCCACTTTATATGCTCCACTTTAGTATCTTGAATTTGTAAGAGGACAACCTGTAATCATCAGCTAGTGATTTCTTACTGTTTATTTTTTTCTTTGAAAGTATGTATTATTTATACCCATTTCTGTTTTGTTTAGTCTTTCTTTAAATAAAATTTTTTTAAAAGACACTACAGTACCCAGTGCTGATCCCGGAGTGTCATGGTGTGAAATCCAGCAATACTATTATTCTTTGTTCAGAATGACTTTAGCCTGCTTTAGTTTGTTTAATCCCAACATAAATGAAGATATGGATAACTGCATGTATGTTTAAGTGTATAGGATTGACAACCATATTACTAAGTTTTTATTGGATAGATGAACAGGACTGTTCACAGTCTTGCTGCTTAAATTCCCACTTTATATGTTCTATTTTTGTATCTTGAACAACTATTTGTAAGAAGACAGTAAGTAAACATCAACTAGTGATTTCTTACTGTTTATTTTTTCTCTGAACATATGTATTATTTCTACCCATTTTCTGTTTTGTTTAGTCTTTCTTTAAATAACATTTTTTAAAAAAAGAGAAGACTGCCTGTTTTAGAGGAGGAATTCAGTAAATATTTGCTGAGGGAGGAAGGTGATTTCAAAAACAGTGCTTCAGAAAAAGAGACACTAACCCTGCTTTGGACACCTGACAGTGTCCAAATTTCCATCTTATTACCCACCTCACTGTCTCATCACCTCCTTTAACTGCACTAATGTCGCCACTGTGGGCTTGCACTCTGCAGGGTGTGCAGAGCTGAGGGCCCTCCCGAAGGCTGCCCTCCCCGCGGGCTCCTCACCTGCTGCACCCCTCCGTAATCATTTGTCAAGGGTAAGCACACACCTCCCCGTATTCTTTTCCGGGGGTGCGGTTCCCACGTACACCCGGATAAACGCCCGATGTTTACTGCCTTGCAAGACAAGACCAAGCATCCTTACTAAGCGGCGATGACCGTTTTGGGGGGACACTGAGGTCCCCTCGGAGTGTACTCCTGACCGATCCTCACCGTGCAGAGTTCTGCCGATTTGCCTGTGAGTAGGAAGAAGACGTCTTTCTTCATGGAGCCTCTTCCACGGACTGCTTCCCAGAGTCCTTAGCTTTTCAGACTTTTACAGTGGATGGTGCTGCTCAGCCCTGAGGCCAGCACCGAGGAAACTGCCCGGTCACACTCTGCTCCTCCACCGCGCTGGAACTGAATGGCCCTGTTCCTGCCACCGCAGGCCGCAATGTTTTCTCTTGATCAGTAGGCCACAAGGTGCTAGGCTCTCCTTTTCACACTTACTTGCTTGTCTGGATTAGTCTCTTTGTTGTACACCCTTGAAGGCAAAGGATTCGCCCTTGTTATTCCTAGAAACTTAGGGAAAATAAAGAAAAGAAAGGTCTGGATTTGAATCACAAATACTGAAATCGTGGAAAAATGAATTCTTGAGCTTATATTTCCCTTAATTGCTGATGATAATATCCATCACACAAGATTGTTATGATGCTAACATGAAGCAATGCATGTAATGCAAATGCCTAGTGCAGAGGGATAGTATTATAGATTTCCCATAAACACCAAACCGGACACCTTTGTCAAATACCACCTAGTGTTTAAGCCAGAGCTACTTAGAGCATTCGTGTGTATTATTGATTACCAGTGTTATATTGTGAGTATTTTTACAGTGTGCCTATCTCAGTTTCAAAAATATACAGGGAGAGCCAGGCATGGTGATGTATGCCTATCATCCTAGCACCTGGAGGCTGAGGTAGGAGGATTGCTGTGAGTTCAAGGCCAGCCTGGGCTACATAAGCAAGTTCAAGGCCAGCCTAAATTACATAGTAAAAGCCTGCCTCAAAATAAAAAATGTAAAAAACAAAAATCCATCAGAAAAATGATATGTTCCATTATTAGTCACCAATTATATTTAAAATGTTGTTCAAATCATAATATTATTTAAAAGTACTAACAATATGGATATTTCTAGTAAAAATATTCATTACATGAATTGCATATTGTTGAAAATGTAACAAAAATATATTGAGTATTTGTGCTTCATTAAAAGTGTTAAATCCTCTGTAATTCACACTCAAAAATTGTAATATATAAGTGTTCTACATTTCACTTCTGTACTTTTTCAGGGAAAATATTAATGGTCTCAAAAATCAATTTAACACAAACTTTTCTACATCACGTATCTTAAACAATTTATAGAGGTTCTCAGATGTCCTTAAAATGTATACTCTGCCAGAATAATGATTATTTGTAAAGCAAACCTGTTTTGCTCAAAATTAACTAAAAGGCATCTCTCATTTGGGGTTTTATTGAGAAAGATGTTAAAGCATTTCCTGATAATTTAGTTTAAGGCTTCACTTGTGGAAAGGAAGCAGTGAATCTGGAAGCCCAAGTGATCTAAAGCTACTTTGAATTAAGAGCTGGTAGAGAAAAAATGTTAGTGCAAAAGAGTCACTGTGTTAAGAAAAAAATGTCATTCCTCATGAATCCTAAAACATTTCATATTATTACCTTGCACTGGGGTTGAGCCAATAATATAAGTCAAACGTCTCATATATTTAGTCAAATGAAGTTTATCTTTGTATAATCAGTGGATTAAGTACAATTTTACTAGTTTCTTAAGCATTTCTCAATGTACGTAATAGTTTTTGGCTATGTCAGACCCCTCCAAACCCACGTTATCTATCTATATGAAAAAGGAATCCATCGGTACAATGACACACACCTGTAATGCCATCTACTTGTGAGTTTGAGACAGAAAAACCGCAAGTCAGTTTGAGATCAGCCTGGGCACTACAGGAAGAGCCTGTCTCAATACAAAATCTAAAATAAGACTGGAATACAGCTCAGGGGGAAAGAGCTTGCCTAGAATGTGAAATGCCTGATGTCCCAGTACAATACACACACACACACACACACACACACACACACACATACACACACACTCAATCTATGGTTAGTCTTTATCCTCAGAGAACAAATAGATCTACTTATAAAAATACATTTCAACTAGAAATTTTATTTTTCCAATAAATTATACGGCAAGCAGCAACTATCTCAGATTCATAAAGGAGGGATTTTTTTCTGGCACATAATAATAAAAAGCACATTTCTTGAATAAAATTTTCAGCAATTTAAATAATAATTAGCATTTACAACAAGAAAATAACACTTCATAGGCAGTAGCTTTTAAAGTATCTAGGAAGACAATGCCATATAGCCACAGTGTGGAATATTTCTAAATGTGGCCATTCTTGACGGCTAACTTCACTATCACTCATTGATAGTTATGTATTTCAGCTAATCACATTCTAACTGCTTCCAAAAGTTTTAAAAATAATGTTTATATGTCTGCTGATACTCGGAAAATTTAGCACTATCAATGGTGCTCTTATAGTAATTAAGGAATAGAAACCACTAGAGGTATTGCATAAATTTGTCCGGGCTTTATTTTTGAAAGTCTAGAAGCAAATGGCTATTACACTTCTTTACAGATTAAAGTGCTGGGATGCTTATATTTTAATGAACATGATGAGACTAATTGACATAATACATATTGCTAGAGATCTTTTGTTCTAGCAACACTTTTCTTGAATAATACAAGAATAACTTACACTAATATCTTTGTCAAAAAATGAATTGGCTATCTAGTAACTTTAATATTTCACCAGTATAGAAAAGTGATTAGAATGAAGAAATCTGATTGTTTCCTCAAACTAAAATTATATGAATGATATTCATGGTGGAAAAATTACCCAAACCTGTACGGTGCTTCCTTTCCAGTTTATGACAGTAGATTTTCACACCTTCTTAGGCCTTCTAAGTTTTAGACATTCTCTGTAGTTTAGGAGAGGTTTTGTTGTTAGTGGTATTATTGCCTAATTGATATTAAATTGAGTCTCATATTTCACTTGCACAATTGGGTAAAATTTGCATGTCTGTACCATGAAACTGATCAAAGGATTGATAAACCCCACCACTCCAGGGTCCCCCATCTCTGTCATCTGCCTCCCCCAGACTATCAAAAGAGTTGCTCTGTGTTGTGACAAATGAGTGTTTTCTAGATTTTTTAAAATCTGAATCATAAAATATGCACCTTTTTGTGATCTGGTCTCTTTCTTGCAACATAACGACCTTGTTATTTGTAGAACACATGGCAGTAATGTTTCTTTACTTGCAGCAATATTGTAGTTCTATTAATGAAATGATAGGATAAATTAAAAAATAATGGTGGGATGATCTGGCAGGGAAAGTTATAGAACTAAAATGATTCTTACCAGAAAAAAACTCATTATGTAAAAAGTGGTTATAAGATTACTATGGTTCAGTGATTATTATTATGACTTTAAATTGCAAGATATTAACAGTAAATTGTTTCTATTACTTTATCATATTTAGTATATAAATTCATTTCTTCTTTCTTGATAGGCAGAATGAGTCAGCTCCTGAGACCCACAGGGGGGGGGGAAAAATCTTTGCTTAACAAATACAGAGAATAAAGATAAAACCAGACCCCCCCGGTAAGGTTACTTAGATGCCACTTTTGCAGGACTTTATCTGGGCCTATGCATTATTCACACACTTTAGACTCTTGATAAGCAAGGACTGCGCCAATGCAAATATTGCTATGGTTGGCATTTCCTGCGGAACTTCAGGCGTAGTCTTCTTAGAAACATAATTAAAATTTGCATATTCTTATTAAATGAAACTGTTTGAGGGGACCCATTTGGTGGCTCTCAAAATAGAACTTTGTTTTCAGAAATAGTTTATGAATGTTACATAATGCATCCCCAAGGCTTCAAAAGAAAATGTCAAGGGACCTCCTGTGGAAATTTTGCCTCAAATTCTCGTGTGTCAGCTTGGTTTTGTAAGGCACATTTTAAAATGGAAATTGCAAACATCCATAATTGGAAACCAGCGACCTTGGGGTTCCCTGCAAAATCACCCAGGAGGCCTGGAGTTGGGCAAATTGCATGCTGAGGGGAGCACAATCTACATGGGCCAGGTGGGCTGCTCCGGGGATGAAGATAACTTCCTGCAAGCTCCGCGACCTTACCCTGTCATCTCTCCACACACCAGGGGCCGAATCCAACTTCGTACAGTGCAACACCTGTTACAAACTGACACTGGACTCGAGCGTCAAATCAGTAAACAAAGGGTAAGAGAGCAGGATGCTAACCAACTTTGAGGTGGTTTCAAATCCAGACCCTGTAGGTGGGGAAATTGCTTGCTTGCCATAAGAAAGCAGAAGAGCAGGCAGTGTAGGCTGGCTAGCACAAAGCACCTGATAGGAAAGGAGCACAAACTCGGTCCCTTCAAGATCCAAGGAGAATAAAAAGAAACTACGTTGTCGGTAGCTATGAAAATAGAGCCCACTAAAACAATGGCCTTACTGCTCACTGCAAAAGTGGCGTTTCACATACAAAGAGAGGAAGCTTTGCTGTTGCTTCAGGGGCATTTAGCAAAAGTAAAAAGGACCCAGGGTGAGCTCAGGGTGCGCGCTGCGCTCAGGCTTTCTGTGAGCTTCCCTAGGAAGCAGGGATGCACTAGTCTGCTCAGGGAGTTCAGCGAGCCTGCAGTGATTAGTATATTTACAAAATGCCACCTCCCTGGGTGTTCTCACTCATGGACATAACCTAACTCAGCTCCAAAAACAAAATATATGGAGGCATTTTTAGTAGGTGAAGAGGTGGGAATGTTAAAGAGGGAAGCACCCGCAATTTAGAAAACAAATGTAAAGGAACTGGGTCCAGGAAAGGGCTTCAGGCAGACTGAACTATAAAACCTACGCGTAAGAGAATCAGATATTCAGTGAAAGGTGATCTTCACAGATAGATAAGCATCGAGTATTTCGAACACCATATGTATCACGGGGTTCACTTGGGAGTTTTATCGGTTGTATTCTGGAAAAGTCCAGCTTCAAGAGTAACTGAGGCAGAGTTCTGTGGTGATAGTTTTTACTTTGTGAATATTTAAAGGAAGTCAGTAGGAACAAACTCACGTTACCTTGTCTGATTTTCCAATCAAACATAATTAAAAAATCTATCCATTGAGAATTTCATAAAAAATTGGAAATTTTCTCTTTGATGTGGAATAGTGACATTTAAATTAAATGCAGTGTGACATGCTTTATTTAAATTTTCCAGTGGCCACTTTCAAAAAGAAATTCATTTAATTAATATAAATTAAAACTATAATATATTCAAAATGTTGTAATCTTTTTAGAATATTTAATACAATTATGAAACAAAATTATGTTTCAAATATATTGCTCCAAGTAATTTCATTTACTAGTGTGAAATTTATTGATATTACATTCATTAAATCTATTGACAGGAGTAAATGTTTTTAAATTCTCTTAATAGACTTTGCAGTCAGTTTCTCTATAGTACTTTGATTAACTGTAATCTGCATATTCATATTACAGAAATGTGTAAAATCTTTATTTATTTGTATATGAAATACTAACTTATTTAAATTATCAAACCTGACCAGTTCAAGATAGATCTTCACATTGAATATTTCTTTTGCTATGTGTCACCAGAAAAAGAACAACCTTTATAGCACCATTTATTGTGTCAGTGGTATTTGGGTTTTAACAATCACTTATTTTGTTTTTAAAAATCTTGAACGCAGAAGTAACATGACAGTAATCTTTTATAAATACTTTTACAGTCTAATCAATAAGCACTGGCTAAGAGCATATACCCTTAAATCAGCTGTATCTTTCATTCAACAGTACCACAAATTGAAGATCCATACTCATCAAACTTGGCAAATGTAACTAAGAAGATTTTCTAAATTCTGCCTTAGAAAATCCAGCGCCAGTATTTGAATGGATGCCATGTAATGGAACGAAGTGATAACAGAAATATTCCTGTCTTGTAATAAAAGTCAAACATATTTGGATTTACATAACTTCAACACAGCTGGGCAGCATACTCACCATGGTAGAAATTTTTTCATACCCAGATAAAATACTTCATTGTTAAGTGCAGAAAATTTCAAGCATTATTCCCCAAAGTTGGTTTTCCAGACTGCCTCCTTTTATGGCACCAAATACTTGAAAATTCTCTAAGATTTAGTACTGTCTATTCTCTAACACTGTATGCCTCATTAAACGTACACAAGTTCTAAAATGTTTACACAAATTGTTTTTTATATGGTTTCAACCTTTTATATCCTGAAAACAAATGTTTTGATAGCTGAATTAACAATATTTCACTTTCTGAATACCATGAGTTTTAGTTTTTACATTTTATCATGACTTTCCTAACCAAGGTAATAATTTGTCTTCTCTTCACCTAAAAGGTTTCCGTGTGTCTATGTGCATGTACACAATCAAAAATCTAAGCCATTTCGCAGTTGGCCAAACTTCAAGAATCCTATTTTACTAATAAACTTTTAAAATGATAATCCCAAGTGAAGCTTTATAGGACGGGGAAGACCAGAAAGATGGGAAGACAAGGGGGAAGGGACACTGGAAAGGAGAAGAGACCTATCAGTGTACGCCGCATGCGGGTATGGAAATGTCCTGGTGAAATCCCTTCATTTGCACAACTAGTGCATGTTACTAAAAAATTTTAAAAATTGTTAGAAATTTACTTGTGATTTCAAATGAATAATATTCTGTTCTAACATTGTGGAGATAAAATGTTATATCAAATTCACTACTTGCTGAAAAGTACTTTTGTTACTTATTTTATCACCATTTCATATTTTAATAAAGCCATTTTTATACTTAGCTCTGTTGCAAATCACATCACATTCATTAGGAAATCTGTAATATATTTTCTCCTATTCTTTTATTTGTTCCAATTTTAACCACCAATTTCTGGACCACCACACAATTAGCCAACATAGTATTTTTGTAAGTTAACTTTATTATTATAATTATTCAAACAATTTGATTATAGCATAGTGAATATTCATTGCAATTTATTGTTATTTTATTCACTTGGATATCACTACAATCATGTGTAAAATATTCCCATCAAACCTATTGTGATCTGCTACAAGTAAATAGAAATGCCCATTTAAATTGAAGTATGTATATTTTATAACATATAGCTATTAATTACATTGGCAATATGATTATATAAAATAATATAAACTTTCAATGTACATTACAATATAGTTTATATAATAAAATGGTTAAAGTGAAATATATTCACTTCCCAACTAATTATGTTTAAAGGAAAATATTTTGCATTGCTTCATGTTCTACACTTCACTGTATTAAAAATACATAAAATTAAACAAAGTCCTTATTTAACGGAACTGACCACATTTCTGACATCCAATAGCCATATGTAGCTGGTGGCTATAGTGCAGGGCAGCACAGATACAGAGGCCCCTTTTTCAAAATCACACAACAGGAGGTACCTGGAGCTGTTATTGTGTCCTTCACTCTGCTTAATGATCCTTGTGTTTGTTTTTGTGCCAGTACCATGCTGTTTTTATCACTGTGGCTTTGTAATATAATTCAACATCTGGGATTGTAATACCTCCTGCTTTGCCCTTCTTATCCAGAACGGCTTTTGCTATTGTGGATCTTTTCTGCTTTCATACAGATTTTAAAATTGTTTTGTCTAAATGTGAGAAGTGCTATTGATATTTGCACTGGCATTTTCTGTGTCTCTCTCTCAATATATTTAATTTATTTTTGATTCTTGAGTTGGATTAAATTTAGATTTGGATATGGTTTTAGTAGTTTGACCATTTTGATAATATTGTTTTGCCTATTCAGGAACAAGTGCTTTCTTTCCAATTTCTCATGTTCTCATCAAACTTCTTCTTTTTATTTTAGAATATTGTATTGTTCATGATAAAAAGTCTTTCATTTTTATGGCTGTATGCATAATTATTTAACCTTAAGGTTAGCTTGAGTGATATTATTTTCCTAACTTCTTTCTAAACAGGTTCATTATTGATGTACAAAAACATTACTGATTTGTGGGTTTTGATTTTGTGTTCTAGTACATTGTCTACTTTAGTTATTAGTTTTTGGAATTTTGGGGTGAAATTTGGGTCTTTTACATAAAAGATCAAGTCTTCTATGAATGATATTTCCACTTGTACCTCTCTGTACATGCCTCTTTTATTTCTTTGAATAATGTTTTTGGATACTATAGCAGTGCCTCCGTCCATGAACTTAATTTGTTCCATGGTTCTGAGGAAGACACCAGTTGTGGTCTTCATCCATACAAAACAGAGGCAGGATTTTGCAGAAACAAGGTATTGCCATGCATGGCACAAGCATAGGGAAGCAAATTTAAAGAAAACTTCTGCGTTTTCCTCTTAGTAGAACATGGGCAGTAGGTTTGTCATAAATTGGTTTATTATGATGAAGAATATCTTTCCTATGCCTATTTTCTTGAGCATTTTTATCCTGAATGGATGTTGAATTTTATCAAGGGTTTTTCTGCAAGTGTTGATTTTTGTTCCTGCTTCTGTTTGTGTGATGTATCACGTTCATTGATTTCATAGGTTGAACCATTCTTGCCTCCTTAGGATGAAGTCTACTTGGTCATGATATGTGATCTTCCTAATCATTTGGTTCATTCTGGTTACCAGTGTCTTGTGGGAGACCTTTGCTTCTATCTATGTTCATGAAATTCACTGTACTAACAACACCAATATATTCTAATCGTTTAAAGTTAATAAAGTGACATAACATCTTTACTACCCATTTTATGAGAAATTTCAAGTCATTTATGTTATTTTACTGCATAATTGTTTCGATTTTTTTATCTTCCTTATGAATTATTTCTACTGGATCACTCTACTGGTTTATAACTCCTGTTTTGTACTATATTTTTGTTATTGAAGTAAAGATCACTATTTTTGTTCTTGAAGCAAAATTTTTTAAAATGTCACTTACTTTTCTGACTAATAATACAACATATTGTTTAATTAAGCTAGGTAGAAAGGAAATTTACAAATTTTATTTGTCTCAAAATATGTAATGTTGTAAAACTGATACTATTAAATGTATATATATATTCAACCATAGATACCAAAAGGAAATAAAATAAATAAGACTGAACCTTTTATACTATAGGTGATCACAAACAGTTTCAAACTTACTCAAGGAAAAACTAACAAAACCCTAAGTAGATAAGGCATAGTGAGTTTTACTAGCTGATGTAACTGAAA